AATATGGAGTTGGGGTATGAAGGAGAGGGGAGCATGAGAGCAACTTAATTATAGCGATAATCTTGTTTACTCAAAACATGCCAGTACTGAGCCCCACTATTTTGAAATAAAAGATCCCTACTCTGGTGTGAGCTTATATAAAATGTCACTCATATATAAACAAACTTGACTTTTAAACTTCAGAACTATGGGTTAAGTGGTATATAAACAACATGACAGCACTAAAGTCAGGAATTCAAACAGAATTCTGTGTCTGCCCACAACATGGCTGCAAGGATTTCCACTCACTTGCTTGTCAAAAAAGAGGAGAAATCTGACATTCCAGCCTCCTGTTGGGCAGTCTTGACATCTCAGATGTATTGAAGGTTACTTACCTGTCCAATAAATTGAGTTCTTTGAGATGTGTGGTCTCTATTTGTATTCCACTCCAGGTGAGCATGGACACCACGTGCATGAGACAAGAAGAATTTTGCTAGCGGTGTCTGTTGGTCTGCACCTGTGCCCTTCTCCTCCTCCTGAGGGTATAAATGGCAATGTGGACTGACCGCCTCTTCATTTACCTTTCTACCATGAATAGCCTCAGGATAAGATTCCACAGCAGAGACGAAGGAGGGTGGGTAGTGGAATATAGATATGGACCACAGATCTTGAAAAATTCCAGTTTTAGCAAAAATCTTCTGATCTCAGGCACATGCACACCTCAAGCAGAATACACATAGAGACCATCACTTGAAGAAGAACTTTATCATATTCTTTAGCAATAAACAACATTTATAGAAAATACATTTCTACTCAGTAAAATCCAATTACCAATGTCTCCTTGTTGCTGCAGACTGAATAGTTAGTGTGGCTGGTTGAGCTATTCTCACATGCAGACACAGAGCTTGAACCATTTCCTTTTTCCTCCTACCCTCATATTCACGTAAGTCCTTAGTCCATCTTTCATTCAGCCCCATATTTTACATGTCTTTTAAAGCCAGCTGGCAAGTTTCAAAGGTGTTAATGGTGTTTTGCTTACATACAACAGTGGCAATGTGGAAGACATATGGGAATACATGTAAGCAACATATTACGTAAAAGGCTCTAGCGAGCTGCCAGACTGAGGAGACAATATGTATATATATAAAAATTCCCTACAGAAGTGCATTATTATGGCTATCTAAGTGCATAAATAACAGAAGGAAAATCCCAATGAATTACACTTCTCAGAAGAGCAATTCTGTAAGTATTCCAGTTCTGGCAAATAAAAGCTTCTTACTTCTTTGAAATGACTAATTTCCTCAGACTGTAAAATAATGTGCATCTGTGAGCATTTCATTGTCTGCATTATGCAGATGATCAAGATCTATCCACACAAAGTGAAATTTACAATACTTTTCTATTCCACAAGGGGTGTTTGTGCACACCCAGCCTAGAATCTGTCTCCAAAATGGTTTCTTCGTGGGGGTACGGGAGACCAGAAGTAAATAGCAAAAGGCTGGTTATGATGACTTTACATCACCCAAGTAGCGGAAGACACAGTGAAGATGACTGAATGTAGAAGCTGCGGCATGTACATGATCCTGGAGGGGGTACCTGAAAAGAGTTTTGTCCGTATGAAGTGCCGCCTGATAGAGCTGATGGAAGAGAAGATCAGAGGATTGGAGATGCAGGTGGAAACTCTGGTTGAGTTTAGAAGGGGGTTCGAGCAGATAACGGAGCAAAGACATGAGGAGGCTGAAGGGAAAAGCTCAGATTTGCAGATGGAAGCAGGACCAAAGAACTCTGAGGGGATACTGCTGGGTGAGAAAAGTGGACAGTGGAAGCCTATGACTAAGAGAACCAGGCAGAGGAAAAGATGGGCTAGTGAAGGAGAAACAGAGCTCAAGAACAGGTTTGCAGAGTTGGAAAATGAAGAAGGAGCACAGCAGGTGGTCGCTGAAGGTGAGAGGGCAAGGAAGAAGAGAAGAGCAGCTAGTTCTATAGGAAGAGGGCAAGAGTCAATGGAGATGATAACACCAAATATGAGCCCCAGGAGGATGCGGAATCGGTTGCAGAGGATTGCAAGGGACAATAGGAATCGAGAAGACTTGCAGCCAGAGGGAAGAAGGGATAGACTGGAAAATCACACCATCACCAGGAAAAGGCAGGTCTATGTGATTGGGGACTCCTTACTGAGAAGGCTAGACAGGCCTGTAACAAGAGCTGATCCAGAGAACAGAAGGGTGTGCTGTCTGCCGGGTGCTAAGATACGAGATGTGGACCTGAGGCTGAAGAGGATCCTAACGGGAGTGGGAAAGAATCTCCTGATTGTCCTTTATGTGGGAACAAATGATACAGTAGATTCTTGCTGGAACATATCGAGAGAGACTATGCCAGGCCGGGGAAGACGCTTAAGGAAATTGAGGCTTAGGTGATCTTCAGTGGGATTCTGCCTGTTCCTATAGAAGGGCAACAAAGGTGTGACAAGATTATGATGCTCAACAGATGGCTTAGGCACTGGTGCTATAAGGAGGGCTTTGGGATGTATGGCCACTGGGAAGCATTCATGGACAGAGGACTGTTCTCTTGGGATGGACTTCACCTGAGTAAGGAGGGAAATAGATTTCTAGAATCGAGGATGGTACAACTGATCAAGAGAGCTTTAAACTAGGAATCTGAGGGAGATGGTTGGGAGATGTCCAGGTAATCTCCACGCCGGATTTTAACACTGAGCGGGAAGAAAACGAAGTAAGAAAGGATAAAGCCATGGGTAGTAGAATGGCCATAAGGAGGAAGGGTAGTGTACATACCTGTCTAATAGGTGAGACTGGCAGTAGAATGTCTGTGCCTAATCAGATAAAGAATGTGAGCAAGACCAAACAGCAAAAATTAAGATGTTTGTACACTAATGCGAGGAGCCTAGGTAACAAAATGGAGGAACTAGAGCTACTGGTGCAGGAAGTGAAACCAGATACTATAGGGATAACAGAAACATGATAGAATAGTAGTCATGACTGGACTACAGGTATTGAAGAGTATGTGCTGTTTAGGAAAGACAGAAATAAAGGCAAAGGTGGTGGAGTAGCATTATATATCAATGATGAGAAGATCTGGATGACCTTGTAAACTGGAGTAATAGTAATAGGATGAAATTTAATACTGAAAAGTGCTAGGTCATGCATTTAGGAATTAATAACAAGAATTTTTGTTATAAACTGGGGACTCATCACTTGGAAGTAACAGAGGAGGAGAAAGACCTCGGAGTATTGGTTGATCACAGGATGACTACGAGCCGCCAACGTGATATGGCCGTGAAAAAAGCGAATGCGGTCTTGGGATGCATCAGGCGAGGTATTTCCAGTAGAGACAAGGAAGTGTTAGTACCGTTATACAAGGCACTGGTGAGACCTCATCCGGAATATTGTGTGCAGTTCTGGTCTCCCATGTTTAAGAAAGATGAATTCAAACTGGAACAGGTACAGAGAAGAGCTACTAGGATGATCCGAGGAATGGAAAACCTGTTTTATGAAAGGAGACTCAAAGAGCTTGGCTTGTTTAGCCTAACCAAAAGAAGGCTGAGGGGAGATATGATTGAGCTCTATAAATATATCAGAGGGATAAATACCACAGAGAGAGAAGAATTATTTAAGCTCAGTACCAATGTGGACACAAGAACAAATGGATATAAACTGGCCATCAGGAAGTTTAGACTTGAAATTAGATGAAGATTTCTAACCATCAGAGGAGTGAAGTTCTGGAACAGCCTTCCAAGGGAAGCAGTGGGGACAAAAGACATATCTGGCTTCAAGACTAAGCTTGATAAGTTTATGGAAGGGATGATATGATGGGATAGCCTAATTTTGGCAACTAACTGATCTTCAACTATCAGTGGTAGATATGCCCAATGGCCTGTGATGGGATGCTAGATGGGTTTGGAATCTGAGTTACTACAGAGAATTCTTTCCTGGGTGACTGGCTGGTGAGTCTTACCCACATGCTCAGGGTTTAGCTGATCGCCATATTTGGGGTCGGGAAGGAATTTTCCTCCAGCGCAGATTGGCAGAGGCCCTGGGGGTTTTTCGCCTTCCTCTGCAGCATGGGGCATGGGTCACTTCCTGGAGGATTCTCTGAACCTCCAAGTCTTTAAACCACGATTTGAGGACTTCAATTGCTCAGACATAGGTTAGAGGTTTGTTACAGGGGTGGGTGGGTGAGATTCTGTGGCCTGCGTTGTGCAGGAGGTCAGACTAGACGATCATAATGGTCCCTTCTGACCTTAAAGTTTATGATTCTCATATGCAAGCAGAATTCACAGCTGGCTGTTTAAAACCATCCCTTTTGCTCGACCGGCACAAGGGGGACAGAGTGGGGCAAGGGTTGTCTTCAGTACATAGATATACATGATGAGCCTTTTAAACCAGAACAGATGACTCCGGGGATAGCTGTAATCCTAAAGTCAGAGAATAATCTTCAGAGACATCTCCCAGCCTGCATTACAGATATTATTCCTACCTTCTTCACAAGGTTGTTTTAAGACTTAATTGATATTTGTAATCAATTAAATGGGTAAAAGCACTGCACATGCACAGAGTACCATTGTTGTTATTAAGACAGACCGAGTTTGCCAGAGAGTAGATTTGGAGGTGCGAGAAATACAAAAATGTTGGGCATTTAACTCTCTCTCTCTTAATAATAATGATGCTTTTATAGAGACACTAACCTATTAATTGATTTTAAACACTGAACAAGTCCCAAGACAACTTTGTTAGGAAGATAGGAATAATTCCCCCTTTTTATATGGAAAAAATGAGGCACAGAAAAATAAACCAACTGGTCCAAGGTCACACACAGTTCACTGTAGGAATCAGAAATAGAATTCTAAGATTATTAATTTTTATGCCGTTTTCCTCTGTTTTGAAGCACAAATATCGTTGAAACATCCTCCCTCTCTACAAACAGCAATAATTTATTTCCCTGCATTGTCCGTGGACAATCATGGTTCTTAAGTAACAATTAAATTTAAGTAAAGTAACGATTACCCTTGTATGGGTGCGAATGTGCATCTTTAGTCCATCATTCTTGCTGAAAGCCTTGTCACAGTAAGGACACTGGTAAGGGCGCTCACCTGAAAATAAGATGAGCATCAGAGTCAACAAATGCAGATGGCGGAAAGAAAGCATTGCCTCAGTACATCAAGGCAGCCCAGAATGGTTGTGTGTCAAACATTATTCTGTTCTAGTGTTCATGTGCAGTTCAAACAGAGTGAAAGAGATCTGAGCGTTAGGGAAACTACATATAAAGAACAAAAGATCTGTTTGGACAGCATGCAAGGCTGGATCAAAGTATCACTTTCAACTGCTTGATTTTGTCATAAAATATGAATACATGCAGAGCGGGATTTAAAAAAAAAAAAGCTGCAGTCCTGGTGACAACTGGGCTAGGATGAATTCTATTGTGGCTAGTACATGGTCACTTTTACAGTTAGTCATTAACTGTTCTCAAAGTACAGTACATTTCCCTCACTTCACATCTATTCATCATGAGAGCCATTTGGGTGTCACAAGCCAATTTAATTATAAAACCCACTTCTGTTCGTTTGTTGCATTTAACTAAAAGAATGCCAGCAAGATCTGCCCTAAGGGAGGCACAGCAGCTTCCGTGAGGTGCCCAGTGACCTCAGTGGGAGTAGAGAGCGCTCAGCACCCCACAAGAAGCCCTCTGTACCTCACAGGATTGAACACTTACATTGATGTAAATCAGTACAGTTTCTGCTGACTTCAGTGAAGTCACTCTGAATTTATACCATATAACTCAGAGGCTGGGCCATTCAGATCCACTCAGTAGAGGTTTTCTGTAGCAAGTCCATAATTTAAAACTAGTGATAAAGCTTTACAATTTCTTACGTAAATTTTTCTTTTTGAGTATTTTAGGCAATGTACTGGAATAAGACTCCAGCATCTAGGCTAATTGCACACAAAAGGCTAATCAACAAAATCAGATTGCTTCCATCACCAAACATATTTTTCAACAAGCTAATCTCCGTGAACTAATTTTCTAACTAAATGGAATCTGTTCCGGCTAATCACATTGATGCCTGGACAACACATCTTTATGTGCAGATACAACAACCCCCTTTAAGCCAATCTAGGAAAACTCAATTGTTCATAAAAAAAGTCTTTGCATGCATGCAAAGCTCTGACAGGTTCCAAGCACTATACAAACATTAACTGACCTTCACAGCAATCCTGTAGGGTAAGCAAGAAAGATTATCACCATTTTAAAGATGGGAAAACTCAGGACAAGTTGCAATGATTTGCCCAAGGCCACAGAGTGAGAGAAGGGAAGGGACAGCTTTATACTGAGGGCTTTCTGACTATGGGGACATTCGTTCTGTCTTGGAGCAAGGCAGACCTCCCCCGCCCCCTTTCCAGTCTTCCATTCACTGTTTGAGGTGCTCGTCCTTGAGGGCTTGACAGAAAGATGTTCTATGTTTTTTTCCGAATGAACAAAAAGTTGAGGAATTGCAAAAGTGTGCGGCCTAGAGAAATAGTTTTTTAAAGTCACACACTGATTACATTACAGCTGACCCACTGGGTTTCACTGCTGCATGTATAGCCTTCTCGGAGCCATTGACTCCATTCATTTTAGTGAGGCCAACTCTCAAGTAAGGGTTGTACAACTTGGCCTTTAATAGGCTGGCCCATTCTTTAATGCCTGTGGGGAAAGATCCCACCTAAATGAAAAAAACAACAGAAACAAAGGCAATGGAGTACTTGTGAAATGCAAACACGCCCCTCTCCTCCACCCTGCCTTATCTTATTAAGTACAAATATATGGACTTGGCAAAGTATCTTTTAACAAGGCTGCTGTGCGATTCTGTGTTCTGAATTAGAAGTTTCACATCTGTTTGAAACATGACACTATCTCTCATGACCCCGATGTCCCTAATTTATGCCATGAGCCTTCGAACTCTGTAGGAGCTGCTGGTGCTCAAACATTTAATTAATCCAGCTGACATTTTTATGTTTTAAAGCTTTTGTATTTTGAAGGTAAAGTCTGCAGAGGTCTGTAAGCAGATGAGTGCTGACAGCTAAGTGCTACCCCCCATTCTTCTTACAGAGGAAGGCTTTTGCTTACAGAGATCGCTTAGAGCTAGTCTGAAATCTATTAATACTGTCCTTCACAAATTTATCATGTTGTTTATGGTTCTTGACGAATAGATGTTTAACAGCTTTCAGCGGATGCCAGTAGAGGGCAACACTGTGACTTTATATCAACATGTTGTACCTGATAAAGCCTGCCTATGATCAGCCATCACATACTGTAAATTTGCAACTTACAACTCTCTGGTATGCAGCTCAGAATTCCCATCTATTTTTTATCATTCAACAGACATGGAGACTGGGGGTTGATGGGGGGGACAAAGTCATTAAGACCTCATGTTTTACTGAATTATAAAAATGTCTTCTCAACCATAACTATAGCATCAGTGATGATTGATAGAACATCTTCAATAAGATTCTAACTCATTTTATGCTTATTCTTATTTTTGTTGTTTCTTTACCAGTTAAATTTTCTAAAACATTTCATGTATGTGCCCCAAATGTGAACATACCTATGTTTATTTGCTCTTATGTGAGCAACTGGCCCTTTTAGGCATGCAGACTGGCTGCATGGACTAAACTGTAAGCATGTAGTTACCTAGTTTATTTACACGGATCCCTCTCCCACAGATATCCTTAGAGTTCTGCATGATTAATGATGGGTTCTATTCAAGCCAAATTTGAATCTGCAACTACAGAACCTTTAGTACAACGCAAAAATCCTAACCTTTTCGTAACTGATGCAGAAATGAGTGTGTGTGTGTAAGTATGGGTGTATGGGGAATGAAAAAGTATTATGTCAGCTTTTAAAATTATTACATGCTTCCCGGCCCCCCCTCCTCCCTTGAATAAATGAAACCTGATTTGGATTTCAAGACTTGGCATGCAATCCTTAGTATACCTGCCCCAAATTTCCCTTCCCCGCTTTGGATTAGATAGTACTACCCTTATTTACATCAGTGATCACCTGCTCACAAAAGAATGCCAATAGTGGATTCCTTAATGAGACTGAGTGAACAGGTGCTTTCTAATATTTGTACAGATTGCACAATAAAGGCCATTTTTGGCCCTACTGACTAAATTTCAAGTTGTCCTAAAAGAAGAAAAACACCTTTGTTCCAAAGCATATTCAAAAATAATAAAAACTATACATTTCTTCTGTTTGTTCCTGTTAAGTTTTTGCCCAGAGGGAATTTCATACTGGAATGTATCTTAAGTCTTGAAATAAGAGGTTCTCTCACTCTAAGAAAGTCAAGAAGTATTAGACATTAAAACAGGAGGAGCAAGTGCTATATAATAAATGCTGCTGGGGAGGTGACATTATCCATCTATGCTTTGGGATTTGTCTGTGATCAACTAACAACCACCAAAAGTCAACTGTAAAAATTGGAATTCCAAGCCTAGCTTCAGATCAATTCAGCCACAATAAATACTTGGGGATTTACAGGTGTAAACCTTCTCTGATCAGGAAGGGACTTGATCTGTTGTGTTTGTGGAAGAGATTAAAAATAAGATCAATAATGTTAAGAAACGAAAATCTTCAGCAACTCATGTTTGCCCAGATCTTGCAATATCCACCTTTTTTCTCCTCTCCCTACCAAAAAACCCCCCACAACTGTTACCAACCTTATTTGGAATATTTATTTTAAGCATGTTTTCAATGTTTATTTCATTTTTTTAAAATGTTCACAGTTGTGCAAAATTTTGGGTTGTAAGCATTTTTTAATTTTTATCTATTTAAATTTTCAGTTGTGGGAAAGTATGGGTGGGGGTCAGATGACAGTTATTTAATGTAGCAGACACTGAGATTAAAAAAGTTAAAGTTTATACCTGTTAAAGCACAAATTGTCCACATTACAGGTCAAAATATGCAAAGTAAATATCCTAAAATCAAACTCTAGTTCTCAAGCAGCATTGTTCTTACTTTGCCTATCTGTAAATTTCAATCATCATTAATGGAAATTGTGTGTGTGTGTGTACGTACGTACAGTGAAATCAATATGTACCAATAAAAATCAAATACTTCCAAGCCTAATTACATTGCACTGGCATTCATTTTGTTTAATTTAACTTAAAAAAAATTAATATCCATCCATGAGATACCTCTAACGCGTAGCTTGTTCTCTCACTGATAGGTGATTCCTCGTTACAATTATTAGTGTTATATGTGGTTCATCTAGCCTTGTATCATCCTGTCTGATTTTTTACTGGAGTTTCTTTATATTAGTTCATTTAGAATTTGACAGAGTTAGAGCACTAATGTATCAGATAGTATGTTTAAAAGTATGTGAGCCCTGAATGCTGGTTCAGTTGAAGATTTTGCACAGTGGGTCGACTGAAGTCAGAGGCAGCCTTTCCACTGATTCCAGTGAGCACTGGATCAGGCCCAATGGGCTTAATTTAAAATAAAATTTATTTTTTTAACGATCTTGCAGAAAATTATTTTTAAGGAGCCAATCCTGCTGAGTGTTGAAGACGTTCAGAACCTTCCATAAGGCACTTAGCATCTTGTAGGATCAACTCATATACATGCAATGAACTTGTCTTATAAAGATTACTAAAGGCTCGAAAGAAGGGGCATTTCAAGTGTAATATTTTTAAAAGGTGATTTTCAAAGGGACATTGTTGAACTGCAGCTCTGAAATTTCTTGGGTTTAAATCCCTGATTTGAGAGCAGCCTAAAGTTGATTAGAGTTAAAAAAAATAAAAAATAAAAAAAATAAAATAAAATCCATCACCACACAATTCTGGTGGAACGGAGACAATTCTCCTGGAGAGAAGTGGTTAAGCAACATGGACATCTGGATCACATATGCAACACCCCCTACCAGGTGATCAATAGGGCAGCCCAGAAAGGGAGTTGCAAGAGCCCCTTTTAGTCAGAGATAATGTGGGGTGATGACAGCATTCAATAGCAAGTTGAGATGGACAAAAGGTTAAAAGATAGAACAAAATTATAATCTGTGGCATATGCTTAGAATTTTATCTGTTCTGGAGTGCCTCACTCTTTATACATTTACCT